TTTCACTATACCAGCCCTTCCTCAATCCAAATTCTGCTTTGTAAATTGTAAATTCCTCAATCCAAATTCTGCGTACCCTAGGCAGATTACCCTGAAGGTAAGCAATGAAGCTTTTCCTGTATCCTGTGTTTGCTGTGCTATGGTGAAAGCCATAACATTCACAGCTCCATAACATAGGCTATTGCTTTTTTCAGCTCTTTCATGCTACCGTAAGCATTTACTCCAATTCAAAAGAAAATGCTGATGGGAAAAAGCCCATATTTTAATCTATTTAAATGATAGCTATTTTATTTTTATAGAAGCTGAAAAAATACACATGTAAGAAATCATCAAATCTCTATATGAATTGGACTGTTGCACAGCCTTCCTCAAGTGAGCATTTTTACCAATAATATCTGAGTTTTACAATCTTAAAAGATTCTTAAAACACTAGAGTTCTATATTCAAAGTATGTTTTGTTTCTAAAGAAAGTGTTATAAGATATCTATGTATTTCAAAATGGAATTTGTTTATCTTTACCATGTATTTATTGAGGGCATACTGTGAGAAATGAACAGATTGGAACACAGAGCATATGACAATTTGCAAAATATATAAAAAACTTGGCCTTCAAGAACCTGATGCTCAAGGGGAAACACACACACACACACACACACACTTAACAAAATAAATGAGTGAAACATGTAGTCTACTGAAGAGGAAGAGACCAGGCTAGGTAATAAAGTAAAAAAGGTGGAAGAGAGCTAGGGGTGGTGTGCAATTTTAAATAGTCTGGTTGGGGAAAGCTCTTTGCAGATAGTATTTAAGCCCCAGGAGATGTGGGGTAATCAGACACGTGCCTGAAGAAGGTGCATCCTGGAGGCAGTCCAAAGGTCAGTGTGGCTGTGGAAGGGGAGTCAAGAGGAGAGAAGTGACAGGGTACACACAGTGCAGTGACCAGAGGCCACTGAGGGGTGGAATGGAAATCCTTAAGAAAGTTTTGATTAAGGCATTAACGTAATCTGACTCCTTTTCAATTGAGATGTATTTGACATCATAAAAGTTACCACTTTAAAGTGCAAAATTTGGTGTGCTTTTTTTAAGTATAGTCACAAAGATGTGTGCCTACTGTTATTTTTAATTCCAAAATATTCGCCACCCCTAAAGAAACCCCATATCTATTAGCAGTTACTCCTCTTTCTCCCTTCATCCTAGCCCCTGGCAACCACTAGTCTCTTTCTCTCTCTCTATGGATTTGACTACACTATTCTCTTTCTCTCTCTCTATGGATTTGATATCTCTGGCTGCTAAAATGAGTATAGGTTGAAGGGAGGCAAGGATAGAAGCTGGGACACCAGTAAAGGGACAAATGTGGTAATTTGGAAATGAGAAGGGATTGAAATAGGACAGGAATCAAGATGGTCAGTAACTATTGGCACATTCAGATATGGTAGATGTCGGGCAGGAGAGAAAGAAAAGTCAAGCACAAATCTCAGATATTTGGCCTTTGCACCTGGAAAGCTAGAGGTGACATCAACAGAGTGCCACACCACTGTAGCAGTAGGTTGGGAGGAAACACCAGGGTGCTGGAATTTGGAGATGTGAATTGAAATTTCAGATGCTAAATGAAGATGCTAAAAAGGGAGCTGGATGTGAGTCCAGAATTCAAAGGATCTGGATCACAGATATAAATTTAGAAGCCAGAGAATAGAAAATATTTGATATCAGGAAAGTAGAAGAGATCACCAAAGGAGTAAGTGACTAGAGAAAAGAGAAGAGGTCCAAGGAGAGAGTCCTTTGACACATCAAAATGTACAGGTCAGGGAGACGAGGACAAACTGTCTTCCCAGTGGAGCAGGAGGACCAAAAGAGGATGGAGTCTTGAAAGTCAAATGAAAACTTTGTCATGAGGAGAGCCCTGTCAACTGTGCCAGTGCTGCTGACAGGCCAAGGAAGATGAGCACAGAGGATCAGCCCCAGCTTTAGGAAGATGGAGTCCTTCTCACACCACAGGACCTCACCCTTTTCTGGCTGCTCCTACTTGTGCATCTGCCATCCCATCTGCCAGGTGTGTCCGCCCCAGACAGGGCTTTGAAAAGAACAGTTTGAGTGGAGTGGGGAGGTCAAAAGCCTGGCTGTAGCGGGTTCAAGAGACCACCGTAAGAAAGGAATTGAATGCAGGGGCAATTGTTCTGATAAATTTAACTGTAAGGGGGTGAAGGAAAGTAAATGTATCAAGAGGTCAGGTGAACAGAGGTAGGAATTTTTTAAGCTGGGAGAAATAAAAACATATTCATATGCTGGTGGGACATATCCAGTAAGGAGGGAAATAGGTGAGGAGGGAGGGATTAAGAATCGCTGGGATTGGTTAGAAGGACGGGATCAAACATATTTTATCTTTCTGTCAAGCTGCTCTAAGAAATAAAAAACGAAGACAAGCTATTTTTTTTTCCCCCAGGAGACTCAAGAACCACCCTATATAGGGTGTCAAGGACAGGCTCTGAACTTGGAGTCCAGAGACAGAAATTCAAGGACCAGTACAAGCTACAATATTCCAGGTACTTCTTTTAACCTCAGTTTTACATCCATAAAATAGTGATCAAAAACAACCTGTTCTCTCTACCTTACATAAAATAGTGATCAAAAACAACCTGTTCTCAACGGTGATTATCAAGTGAAACATGCAAACCCTGCAAAGGCTCAGGTATCACGTCCTTGGGCAAGTCTAAGGAAGAGTTACCCAGGCCTGTGCTTTCTCCAGCATCTTACACATAGCCATGCTTTAGCTCCAAAGGGGAAAAAGGCAAAATGAAGACACTTTTAAGAAGAATAATTAAGTCATAGAAAAACAGAAGCTTTCTGGCTATTTACTGTTTAAAACGCATTTTAATAAATTATACAGAAATTCTGACTTAATTTCTTAGTTCCTTCCTTTTAAACATTCAACAACAACAACAACAACAAAAACCCTCTATTTTAGACTCAGTTGAGTGTGGGGCAAATAAAGAGGTACACTAAATTTGACTGTAGGCCTGGAGCAAGACCATGCCTAAAGACAGATGTGACCTAATGCCTTCCCACAGATCTCTTACTTCCCATATTCCAACCGCTTGTCAGGATCAGTGTAAATGAAGATAATGTGGTCCTTGACTTTGTGCCCAATGGAAGACATCAGCAGCTGTTTAAAAGAGGGTTTTTAACTATTATTTTCACTTCATTTGTTGATTAATTTTTAATTCTGGCTGCTCAGTATATGAGCCATAGTTCTCTTTAAGGGAAATATATCTTGCAGGATATCCTGATCTAGTCATTAACTGTTTTCCACACTTTTGTGGTTGAGCTAAGATACCAAGCTAAGATACCAAGATACCAAGGTGTGTGCTTATTTTTTCTAATGAGAATGATAGTGCTCACCTCTATCAAGGAACTGGTAGTTTAGAGAAAGAAATCTGAGATGGAATTTAAAGTAGACATGAAAGTTGAATCGACCTTTTCTCTCTGCTTCCCCCTCACATTTGATTAGAAAACTTGAGCAAGAACTCAGCTGGCCATGAGATCACACAGAAATGTAAAGGAAAGTGTGAAAGGTAGGACATAAATAGAAATACACATATAAATAAATATATGAATATGTAAATGTGTTTGTGTGAATTTCCTTTAAAATATGACATATCTCCCCTTGTAGGAACCTTTGGCAATGGAATTGTAGCTTCCTTGTGAAGTTACTGTGCACACTTCATATATAATCAACACATATTTTTTCTAATTTTAAAGGTATCTTTATATTTATGTTGTATTATTTGCATATGAATAACATACATGCTGATTCTTTAATCAGAATTCTAATTTCCCAACATAAATCTAGTATATATTATTATTTAAATAAAATACAGTAATTTACTTTCTAATGACTAACAATGCAAGTTTATAGGAACAAATTATTCCAATACTTGTACATATCTACCTCAAATTCCCTCTGTCACATACTCCAGCATTACTTGGGAAGAACTTACTTTGAATGGATGATTTTTTTAATAGTAAAACATCACTTAGAGGGAGCATTGTAAATTCAAACATTAATTTTGATTTGTGTATTTTTGAAGGAAGTTTTATTGGACCATATATTCTTTTAGTTATTGCTATTATAATTAACAATATAATTAATGTAATGTTTTAGCATTAATATGTTAAGCACTCTTGATTACTCAGGGCCATTATGATGGCTAGACACTAATAGAGAATATATAAAGTATTTATAAACTCAGAATTTGCTGAGGAGAAGGAGCTATCCATCCTTACTGGGTAGAACCAGGATATCCCAGGTTTTCTTCAGTGACCTCACCTGCCTCTTCAAGCATCTCCACCTCCTCTGCCGGTCAGGAGGTCCAAGCACTGTTGCTTGCTCCTCTCAGTGGGCTCACGTCTAGCAGACTCTCCCATTTCCAGGCAACTATCTTTTGATTCTCAAAGTGGTAGAAAGACCCACAGTTTCAAAGTGAAGTGGCTTTGCCAAAACCCAGTTGCATGACTCTGGACAAAGCTCAGAACCTCTTTGGGAAATTTGTTCCCTTAACCATACAACAAAAGAACTAGGCTGAATGATCTTAAAGTCCCCTCCAACCTAGATTTCATGATAAGTACTGCTGAAGGTTGGGAAACTAACATCTGGATTTATTAGAAAGGATAGAGAAACTATGAGAAATGGCCTCAAAGGTTCCCAAACTTCGGTGCATGGAATTTACTGTATCTTATTTTTGCTACATGGTAGACTTTGGATCTTAGTTCTGGATTCTTTGTTATGTGTCCAATAAATGAGGTTCCTCATCTGATAAATCACGTCCAGGTAAATGGGAGAGAATTATATTTAGAGCTTTTGACTTTCACATAATAGGTAAGAATTCATCAAGAATTTTTAAAAATGTAGAATGAATTATTCCTTAGTGAAAATTTTTGCTTCTAAACAAACACATTTTCACGTGATACATCAAGAAAATGACACTGCATACTAAAAAACAATTTACCTATAACTACATCATGACCATCAACCAGGCCAGCAGAGAAGAGCTCCTGAGATACACCATCTGCCGTATCTGTCCAAATGTGAAATGAATATGTATTAGTAACCATAAAATAAAAATCAACAATCCAGTACAATGTAAAATATATATTTTTCATTTACAAAAATCACCCACAAGAGTTTTAATTCAGTAATTCAGATTCTGTCAGAAGAAAAAAAAATCAAAAGCAACATAAAATATATTTTACCATGTACAATTTGCATCTTGCTATTTATTCAACAGATGTTTTATAAAGTTGTTTTTTTTTCCACTTTTGATGAACCAAAAAACTTTTGCCTTCTGGTTATGATCTGAATTCCTCCTCAAACACACTTCTAGGAGATAAAACCATTCCCTGTGATGCTGCTTTTCTTCTAGCCAAGGTTAAATCCAGCCACCATCAAACCTTTTCTAGCTACTGATTCAGAATTTATGGCAAAGGCCGAATGAGCGGCATCTGATACAACCTTAAATTTGGTATAAACAGCCTGTGAGCTTGTTGGACTATTAAGATGAGCCACTTAGTTTCATGCTATTAAGAAACTCCTTTAACATGACATTGATCATCTGATAGCAACAGATTCATTCTCTTAGAAAATGTGGTTGAGTAAAATAATGTAGTTTCTCAATGATAAGTGACAGGAGTTGGCAATCTCATAAAGATGGGACTGAACAGGCTGTGGCAAGTGAATATAGCTGAAATTGCTTAATTGAAGGGTTATGAATGAACATGATAACACTGTTATCTTCTATTTGAAGACTTTATAAAGAGGAATTGAGAAATTACCACAAGCTCAAAAGAACCATTACAGACCTCTATGTTTTTACGAGAGAGGTGACTTGGTCTCCACAGCCTCTGACAACATCACAAACATCCAGAACTGTAGCTAGATACAAAGAAACTGGTTGGGCAGCCTGCAGGTGTAGCTGGAGGCTTGATATCAGTGTCTTCCAAAGTCAGGGAGCAACTCAAAGTAAAGCAACTCAAGGCTGCTAAATCCAACAGGCATTAAATCCGGATTGTAGTTTGACGTGCTAAGAGCTGCCCACAGCAAAAACTGGCCCTGGTGGCTTGCAAATGAATTAAATATATATATATATATATATATATGTGTGTGTGTGTGTGTGTGTGTGTGTGTGTGTGTGTTTGTGTGTGTGTGTGTATGAGAGAGAGAGAGAGAGAGAGAGAGATGCATGCACACACATGAGTATGTAGCTGCAGCTACAGTTGTCTTTCACAATTCTTGGCATTTGAAGTGCTCTGCCCAGTGTTTGTCACATAGAAAGTACTTGGGGGAAAAAAAATTGGCAAGGAAGATGCTAATGACAAAGTTCACCTGAAAGGCACCTTCCACCCTCCTGCTCTCTTTGTCTCCCTTTTGCACCTGGCCCAATTCCTCAAATTTTTAATAATAATTTGAAACCTAATGTATATTCTTTATACTTTCAGAGAAATCATGTTATTTTACCATTTTACTGGTTTCATTTCATAATGGGATCATCATACAATGGGACAAAATGAAGTAAAATGGCAAAGAAATATATAGAAACCTTACTAACTATGAAATCCCATATTAAGTGAACTTATCTTGGGCCTTGTCCTTTTCATCAGAGGTACAAAAGGAACCTTATAAAAGTCCCTTTGTGATGAAATGACCCCCTAAGGTGGAACCCAGGATAGCATAATGAAAGGCTCTACCCTGAATGTGATTTCTCTTTCTGAAGCTGCTGGAACACTCAGCCTCGATTCTCCACCTTCCTGGATGCCACCCAAGTCTTCAGGAACAGAAGCACATTGAATTAAAGTATCTAACACCTAGTAGGCACTGGGTGTGCAGGAGGCAGTCATTATATTTCAGTGACTGATCATCTGTTAAAGCATTTCAATGTGTTACACCAGCTGTAAAGCAGCAATAAGATCTTATACCTGAGTAAGGAGCTGCAATCACAGAACGTAGCTGAAAATGGGATAGTCAAACAAAGCCACATGGAGGGCTAGCACTAAAACAGTACCACGGTGAACAGACATTCCCAAATGATTAAAGTGTACAGCATGTCCTTCTATTTTCAGGACTCTTGGGCACCAGATGAGTCATATCAAAATGGCAAATGGGTGATAATAAGCTGGCCAAAATGGGAAGTAGTCCACATCGGTGTGTGTGCCATTATGCAGTCATCTTGTATGCACGTAAGTAAAGCATAAGTAACAATTTAGAAAAGAAATGTGAAATAATTATTTCATGTTTCATTAGTAATCTATTTTTTCTTTCAGCTGTTCAACATTCTTTATATCAATGGATCAAATAATCTAGTATTCATGCCTGGCTTCCAGAGCCTACAGTGACAGAGTAAACACAAAGGACTTGTCTTCTAATGAGGACAGAGAATATTTTATTTGTGTTATGTTTTATGCTGTATATACTTATTCATGTTTACACACAGCACAAACTCAGGGTCCAGCTGGTGTGCATCCACAGGATTCACTGCAGATCATGTCTGAAATACAGACAGTATCAGGATTCACGGAAGTGCAGTGAAATGTATGTGGGGCTTCCCTTAGTAATGGGTCTGTGCTCAGTTGCTCAGTAAGCGTGCACTAGCATTGAGAAGTCAATGCTATGGTTTCTGTTTGGGTAACAAAAGCAGAGACTCTCAAATGAGCCCTGGCAAATGAGGCTGCCAAAGCCAGTACAAATGGACCAGTAATGCAAATGCATTAATGGGCTCGCCTATCCAGAGAAATCCTCAACTTGGAAATTTGTTCCTTTGTTACCTTTCAAAATTAAAATTTATTTTCATTGCCATAGTTAATTTCAAACAATTAGATGAAAAGAAGCAACCTTAAATTAAGAATCTGTTCTTTCTACTTACTGTATTTGAGATAGTGTATAACTACTAGATTTTTATCACAGCATTGTCTGGTCAGTATTTTTATATTATGATAAAATAAATAGCTTTGTTGATAACCCTGAGTGGTGCTGTATAATTTCTACAGACAGACTCTAAATTGTTAAAGATGGAGATTTCTGGAAAGAAAAATCAATTAGCAATTCATGAGGGCCCTATGGACATTTATTTTGCAAAAGACACTTCATATTTTAGTTTAATTTAAATATATGGAAATCATGAAATCTTTGCCTTTACAGAAGACTAGAGATCAAAAGCAGGAGTCAATGTCCACATATAGCCCAGGAACATATTTTATTTAGTTGTCAGCAATTTTTTTTTTTCCCTCAAAACTGAATATCAGGGCTGAGATTGTGGCTCAGTGGCAGAGCACTTGCCTTGCATGTGTTAGGCAATGGGTTTGATCCTCAGCACCACATAAATATAAATAAATAAAATAAAGGTATCATATATCCATCTACAACTAAAAAGTTATTTTAAAAAAACAACTGAACATCAATATATTAGATGAAATTGCCCTGTCTCCTGAAGTGCCCCACCATTTACTTTGGCTCCAGGGGCATTTGAGTTTGTTTTTCTCCTTGCAAGTGACAGAAGCATGATGTCAAGACATTTTACTTAATGAACAGCTATCAAGGTAGAAAGTCCTTGCACCTCGGAGTTTTCAGAATTTTAGCAAATACAATTTATTTAGTCAAATTAAAATTTATGTGGAGCCCCAATAAATCAAATATTACATATATTTGTAAATTAAAATGTATGAGACTAACGTATTTTATATGTGTACTACGAGTTAAAATGCATTCTGCTGTCATGTATAACATTAGAATAAATTAAAAATTTTTTTAAAAAGAAAGGTCTTCAGTATAGACATTGAGGAAACCATTTTCATCTATGTAAAAATCTGAACTTAGAGGTCATGAAAAACTGTTATGGTCTCAGCATTAACATCTGATTTTAAAGTTTTCTGGGTTATTTTGTTTAAAAACCAAATAGTTGCAATAGTATACTTTTTTCTTAACAATTAGTATTGTGATCTCTGGAAACTTTTAAATGTTATTTATCTATTACTTAACCAAGATTACTTTAGGTTCTAAGGCAAACCAATCTTTTTTTTCTAGGTGCAAAATATAAAAGATGGTCCTTTATTTCAGGCATGCAGGAGTTGAAGGAACAACCAGACCAGCTTTCAAGCAGTTGCAACAACTTATTTAAAATACACAAACTGCATACTACTAGACAATCGACATTGTTCCTATCAAGCTCACCCCTGGTGCACAGAGCTAAAAGAGGCAACAAACACTCCCCAAGAGAGGTTTCCTGAAACCTGAATTGAGACCGGGAGGCAAAGAGTGCTACCTTTTTGAATGACACCATTGTTTGCTGCTCAACACTCATTAGGACTGCTGGTGCTTCTCATTATATATTCATAATTTCCCATTACCATGCCAGTACTTATTTTCATGGTTGAGCTAATATATCCAATTTATATGTGTGAGTATGCACTGTACCGCATGTGTCAACGGGATTCATGCAGTCAGTAGTGGTTCAGTTTTGAATCCTTACAATTATCAAAACTCCTTTCTTCCTCCCTCCCTCCCTCTCTCCCTCCTTCCTTCCTTTGCTTTTAGACAAAGCATTTTTGAATAGCAAATTATAACCACATGCTTGCAATCAATTTCTGAAATGTTTCTTGTAGCACTAAAATAATAATTTCAATTAAAACTCACCTCTTCCTGGAGTAAACTCAAATCGTATATCATTAAGTTCCTTTCTGGAGTTTCTGAAATACATAACATGTAGCACATTAAAACCTAATGAAGCAAAGTTTAATCAAACTAAATAAATCCCAAGTTTTACAAGATGCTACTAACACATAGTTAGCATTTTAGTTTGGATGACCTCCAAATATTTCCTCCACTGAAAAAAATGGTTATGATAATAATAAATGAAAAGATTTATTCATCTAATTTAATTTACCTTATTTAAACATACCTGTATCACAAAGTTCCAAAAACAAAATGTTAATTTTAGAAAATCTGTACTAAATTAGTAACCATAAATCTAATTTCATAATTTAAAATTTTAGGTGCCTCTAGTCCAAAATAAATGATAATCCATGCTTTTTCATATTTTCCCTGGAAATACAGATTTTATTGTAAAAAAAAAAAGGAGAAATAGTCCTGTTAAAAACAAGCAACAAAATGCCCAAAACAAGGCATGCATTTTTTTTAATAACTTTATTTATTTATTTTTTATGTGGTGCTGAGGATCAAATCCAGTACCTCACATATGCTAAGCAGGAGATCTAAGCTCTGCTACCATTGAACCACAACCCCAGCCCAAGGTATGCATTTTATAGTTATGTATCTAAATACCCAGACCTCTGAATGTTATGAAACTGCCCATTGAATACATAAAACTTTAAGTAAATATAAAATGCTTACATAAAACTGTAACATACGCAATTAAAAAATGAATGACACTCTGGAGATAAACAAATAAATATCTAGAATACATGTTTTCTACTTCTATTGAATTTCAAGAAATGATAATAAGTGGCAGCAAGCTATAATCAGAAATATTTTAGGTTCTCATAACACTAAAATATTATAAGCACCTTTCAACAGATGCCAGAATTTAAAGTTTAAAGTTAAAAAGTTAATAAAGTTTATTAACACCTTACGGAACTGCATTAGGAAACTAGTAATTTACATCAGAATTCAACTACTAGCTCAGCAGCAAGGTGTCCAAGACAGAAGCAGATAGAGATGGCTGAACACCCTCCCCTGAATGTCCTCCTACCAGTGTAGGCCAGGCTGAGCAGGCCCTGTTCAGCACTTCAGCTTAGTTCTCTAAACCTCTGCAATATCTCCTGGTCCCTGTGAACAGCGGCCACACCATGATGACACGGTCTCTGGGCCCCTCTTGGTCAATGGCTTGATCTCCAGTCTTTATGTCCTACCTTATCCTACCACACTAAGTGCAAGGTGGCCTTAAGAAAGCGAAGGGCCTAATACCCACTAGAAGAAAGGCCTTCTCGGTGCCTATAAAAGTTAATTTCCACAAGTGCTGTGGAGAGAAATAAAAAGCCTAAGCTCAAACATGAGGTCCTTGAGCCATGATGTCTGCAGCTCCCTGAAGGATTCCCACCTGGACATTATCACTGCTCTTCTTGGGAACAGAATAGGACCAGGGACCTTCTGCAAATCTTATAGGTGTGCTTCCATTAGGATCTTCTGGGAATCTGACAACCGTGAAAATGGTATATATACTCTAACCATAAAAAAGTAGACGCATGACCAATGCATGAAACTGAAGATAATTATATGGTATTCACAGATGCTCTTGGACCCCAACTACACATCCCTACCTTGACAGTAGAAAGTGCCATTACCAATCAGTGACTAACAGTGGAAGGGCTGTCTGCAAGCTACATTATTTTGATCAGCCTAAAGTGTCTTAATAAACTGTATGTATCACCATGTATTTTTAATAGTGCTCTTATATATCTGCAGTTCTCCAACATTTTGGTATTAGACCTCCTTTACATTCTTAAAAAGTATTAGGTCCCCCACAGGGATTTTGTTTATATAGGGACTCTATCAAGATTTACTGTATTAGAAGTTTTGCAAGGCACAGTGGCACTTGCCTGTAATCCCAGCTACTCAGGAGGCTGAGGCAGGAGGATAGTATTGCAGGACTGCAAGTTTGAGGCCAGCATGGGCAACGTAGTGAGATCCTATGTCAAAATAAAACTTATAAAAGGGCTGGGGATATATGGCTCAGTATTGCCTAGCATGTATGAAGCCTTGTGTTCAATATCCAGTAAAACACACACACACACACACACACACACACAAATTTACTGTTACAAGTTAAAAATCATAAAAATTTAAAGATTAATTGAATTGAGAATGATGTTAATTTATCTCATGTATGTACGTATTTTTATGAAAAATTATTTTTAGACTGGGTTGTTGTTTAGTGGCAGAGTGGTTGCCTAACACATGAGGCCTTGAATTTGGTCCACAGTAGTGTGAAAGACAAAACAAAATAAAACAAAAAAAAACCTTTCTTTTCCAAAAGAAAAAATATATTGTTTGACCTTTTTGCAAGCCTCTCTAACGTTTGGCTTAAGGTAGCTCCATTTTTATAGCTGTTTCAGAGATCTATTGCAATGTTGAGTGTCAGGTAGGTAGCCACTGAAATTCCACTGAACATGTGTGAAATCATGAAGTGAAAAGGTAAATAATTTTTTAATATTATTATAAAGTTTTGACCTCATGAGCTCTCTAAAGATCTAATGAATTCCCAGGGTAACTGGGCCATACTTTAAGCAACATAGAGATATGTCTCTCCTTCCCCCCACCAACACATACGCACACAAACACCCCTATATTTATAGCTACATGTCTATCTAGATAGATCTGTCAATATATCTCCATAGATACACACACACAAACACAGCTGGTCCTCTAAATTCACAGGTTTTGCATCCATGGAAGTCAACCAATCACAATTTGAAAATATTCAGGAAAAAAATGTGTCTGTACTGAATATGTACAGACTTTTTTTCTGTTTATTATTCCCTAAACATTATAATAGCTATTTACATAGCATTTACATTGTATTAGGCATTAAAAGTAGACTAGTGATAATTTAAATATGCAAGAGAATGTTTCATGAAAACTCTTTGACATTTTATGTAAGGAATTTGAACATCTGTAGATTTTGGTCTGTGTGGGAGATCCTGGAACCAATCCTTCTCCAATACCAGGGAAAAAGTATATATATATATATATATATATATATATATATATATATATATTGTGTGTGTGTGTGTGTGTGTGTGTGTGTAATCTCATTTGATTCCAACAATCAGCCTTTGAGATATGCAAAGGGGTATAGCTAATTTCCCATTATTCATCTTTCTTCTCGCTCTGCCCTGCTGCATTTTTAGTTTATTACATTCAATGGCTTCTCTAAGTTTACAAATTTGATGAAGGGCAGAGTGAGGATAAATAAGTCTATATTGGAAACCAATACAAACAGCAATGCTCAATTCCTATCATCTTTAAAAGAACAAGATTCCCTAAGATTGTGCATATTATCATAAAACCACCAACAACCATTAGTATCTTTAATCATCTTGGTGTGGTGTGCTGTGTATGAACAGAGGTTAAATTAGAATGAAAGTAGTCCAATAAGAAAAAAAACGATCACTAGGAAAACAAGTACTAATAATGCATTTAATAATGAAATGACATAATGAGGAAAAAATATAAAAGAATTTGATTCAATACTAATTGGTATCCTTTGACCTTTTTCTTTTGATTGGTCCTATTTAAATTAGTTTGTTCTACTAAGACTGCAATAAGAGAGGTGTAAGAACTCTATCGGGAATATCATCACATGCTTCCTAATGCTTTATATATGAATACCACAGAAAGTCTCATCCAACACCCACAATCTCTACCTATGTCTGCTGTGGTTCAAGTCATGGGGATGGCCTAGTCAAGGCAGTCTTTTATGACTCTGAACCTAAGACGCTCACCTTTGAAAAGATCACAGTGATTGATTGTGAGTAGTAGACTTGTCCCATCAAGATGAAATATAGTTGGAAAAATGCCTAATTGGGTCTAACTACTGAAGGTCATCCTTTTATAAAGAATTAATCTTTTCAGACGCATACTTAACACCTTTAATTGAAAGTACATCTACTTTAATTGATGTCGCACAGGACACTCTTGATTTCAGGGAAGCTGAAAATAGGTATGATTTAAAACTCAAAACTAAGTCAGTGCAACTTCACAGAGGAAATGATAAAAACTTGACAGTAACAGCTTCAAGGCCCAGCATGCTTGTGATGACTCTTATTAAAAACACTCTTAATCCTAAAGTAAAAACACTTGCATTTGGTTAGGCACATACCCCCCTTTATTGCTCACTGTATGCATACCCTACATCAAAAATCCAAATGCCTATAGGGCTCAGGAGGAAATTAATATTTTTAGATAGGCAATATAATCAAGTGGTTTTAAAGGCCAAAAGTACAATGGCTAGTTCTGTGAAAAAATAGTTCTCCCTCACGCCTTACCCAAATATCTGGTTTCCCTTTCAGAGGAGATCAATGTTAGACTTTTTGTGGATTCTTCCTAAGGTGTTTCTGCATATCCTTGCCAACATACACACACATTCAATGCCAAGGGTAGCATAATAAATCCACTGTTTTGTTCCCTGTCTTTCTTTTCTTAATACTGTCATACCTTGGAACTTCTCCATATTAGTTCATTGAGGGTTTTCTCATTCTTTTCTGTACAGCTACATAGTTTTCCTTTGTGAAAACTTGCTATCTTTTCTGAACTAGTTCCATTCTGCAAACAGATTGTTTCCAATCTTTCATTATTATAAAGAATGCTTCAAAGAATAACCTTGTTCTCATGTTGTTTTGCAAATATCTGAGTATAACAATAAATTTCTAGAAGTGAATTGCTTGGCCAAAGTTTATGTGCATTTGCAATTTGATAGGTATTGTCAAATTTTCCTTCACCTAAGTTGCACCAATTTATACTCTCGCTGATGATTTGTAAGCACTGTTGAAGAAACTTCAAATGAGTAAAGCAGAGAGTGGATTGAAGAACAGAAAGATGTGGGGGCTGTTTCAGTGGGAAAGCATATTCCCTACTGTAAGGGAGGCAACCACTACTCAACATAAGCTGGTTATGGCCAGGTAGGAATCTGAGCAACTGTTGCTAAGTAATTAAGAAATTTAACATTATA